ATTCTTTACACTGCTTTAGGGTTTTCTATGGGCAATGAGCCCTTCTCAGGGGGCTGCAATGTTCCCTTCTCACAAACAGGCCCTGTACTTTGCAAGTGTGGGCTGCAGCTTTCAGGCAAGAGGAACAAACAAGCAGTCAGCACGCCACACAGGCCAGCTTCGTCACTCGCCTCTGACTGATGCATCAGCTGCCTCACACACTGATGCCGATCATCACCACAATGAGGCTGTAACAGCGAAACGCTACTGTACTTGCATGTTCCCAGTGGATCAGTGTGTCAGAGACTCCAAGCACCTCCTGCCCTCCAGAACGGGGTTGACCTTGGGCCCAACACATTTAAAGAGACTGATGTAGAAATACCAAGCTCTGCCATTTCCCCCAGCGTTGGCTTAAACAAACACTTTACAAATTAGTCTATGTATGGGAAAAAAATCACAATGGGAATGACACAGCCTGGGCTACACAGTCAGGACCATCAGCTACCTCTACGGGCTAAGTGCCAACCTTCCTCTACCCGAACCAGCAGCTTCTTTGGATCTCCACATGCTCAAGTCAGCCGCAGTGGGAGATTTTGCACCAGAGCCAGCACTGTCAACCCTGAGCATTCGAAAGTCAGGAGTCCCAGTCTCATGACATTGACTTATAAATCATGAGATTTAAAAGTACTAATGAGCCATTTTATTTCCCATCTGGTTGGGTCTTTGAGGATCTTGTCTTCCTGCTTTTCTCTGCACCCACGAGGACTAGATGTGTGTACAATTTTGGGTCAACAGCTGAAGTTCACATGATTCCTGGAGCTGCTGCTTTCAGACAAATGCCAAAGATTGCAAGACTCGCAATAAAATCATGAGAGTTGGCGATTCTTGGAAGCTCCTATTGTAATGAAAACTACAGCACAATGAGGGAATGTAGCCCTACAGTCTGCTCTGAAGTACAGCTCTTCACCTTCGCACATCTCAGGCCCCTCCCTGTGAACCCTCCTCCATGCCCTCCAAGCTCCATATTTAAGTGCAGCAAATACACGCTTCATTGTTCGAATACCTGACTTCTTTGCAGCTGCTGTTCCACAGCCATCATAGGCCAGATTTCCAGAGGACTCAGAAAACTGGGTGCCAAGTTCTTTGGAGGCCCCAGCCTTCTCCAATTTCTCCATCTAGAGAAGGCTGGGACCTCCAAAGAACTCAGCGTCTGGAGAAATCAGAGAAGGTCCAGAGAAGAGCAACAAGAAGGATTAAAGGTCTAGAGAACATGACCCATGAGGGAAGACTGAAAGAATTGGGCTTGTTTAGTTTAGAAAAGAGAAGACTGAGAGGGGACATGATACTGGTTTTCAAGTACCTAAAAGAGTGTTACAAGGAGGAAGGAGAAAAATTGTTCTCCTTGGACTGTGAGGATAGGACAAGAAGCAATGGGCTTAAATTGCAGCAAGGGCGATTTAGGTTGGACATTAGGAAAAACTTTCTAGCTGTCAGGGTGGTTAAACACTGGAATAAGTTGCCTAAGGAGGTTGTGGAATCTCCGTCTCTGGAGATATTTAAGAGCAGGTTAGACAGACATCTATCAGGGATGATCTAGATGGTGCTTGGTCCTGCCATGAGGGCAGGGGACTGGACTCAATGATCTCTCAAGGTCCCTTCTAGTTCTAGTGTTCTATGATCAGTGGCACAGTGCTGAGGCTTTGAGGTGCTGTTCCTACATGCCAACCTTCTCTCCATCAGCAGAACTCAGCTTTCCTTGCCTTGAGCCTGGCCTATACCCTACATCTGCCACTTGCTTCAGGAAATGCACTTTGCCTGCCAATGCTGCATGGAAGGTCAATCTGACAGCACAAAAAATACCATTTCCCCTGCCTCACAGTCTGTTCACTGCGTGAGAGCAACCAATTCCTGTCCATAGTGTAAACAGCCATGGTGTTTAGCCCAAAAGTACCAGATACGTACATGTTTCCCTCCCTTGCCTCTCTCTCTTTTCCTCATGAATACACTATTCCACTGATAACTTTCAGCCCCCTGTCCAAGTCTCCTGATCTGCCCCATTTGCTAGATGATCACTGGTTTGAATACAGATTTTTTTATTCCCAGAATTCCAGCCCCTTCCAGCCTGAGAATGTTTCTGGATGGAGGCAGCCAATCAGCCAACTGTAATGAAGGACTGGTGATGGGTACAGCACCGTTTGGATCTTGGCTGGACTTTGTCTTGATGAACATGTTTGTCATAGGGAAATACCCAATTGTAGACTCAGCATGGCACAAAGAAGACCTTGCATTGCAATTACTTGGATAATGTAACATTTAAATTGGGGTAGGACCTAGTGGTCAGAGGGGCCTTTGGGGCTGTATGAACACTGGATCTTAATTATGTTTATTGTTACTATGAATTGTACGACTGTAACACCCAAGCCACTGTCACGGATCAGGACCCTGTTGTATGAGGTAGGGATGTTAAATATCAGTTAATTGAATAGTCGAGTAAATTCATGAAATTTTATTGGTTAGTCGACTATCCTATAGTCCCTGGGGGGCGGGGCTGGCAGCCACTGTATCAGATGCAGCAGTGCAGGGTGGTAGCAGTTCCTGGTTAAGGGGGTCTAAGCTCCCAGAACCAGCACAAGCCAGAACTGAGCTGAGCTGCCTGCCTGCCCAATACTTAATACACTTTAAATGCAGAGCCGCAGCAGGGGTAGGTCCCAGACCTGTTGCAAGCCAGGACTGAGCCATGCTGCTGGCCAGCCTGCTAAACAATATACTGGCAGGGAGAGGGAAATGCCTGTAGTCTGTAGCATTAACCTATAAGCTTCTGTTTATTGGTTAATCGGTTCATTGACTACACTATTACATCCCTAGTACGAGGTGCTATAGAAACAGCACATAAAGCCAGTCCCTTCCCCCGAGAGCTTACAATCTAGAATCATAGAAACATAGAACACTAGAATTGGAAGGGATCTCGAGAGGTCAAGTCCAGTCCCCTTGCCAAAAAAGACCAGGCATGCCAGATGGCTAAGTTGCAAATGCCAGGTAACAGGTCAAAGAGGCTAGGCACAACTCCTAGACTCAGATTATAAGGCTGTTATGGATCCCTGTGATCATCTAGTCTGGCTTTCTGAGTGACAAGCCCTTAAGTCTTCCATAAGCCACAGCCAAGCAGTAAGAAGGATCACTTGCTTCAGTTCGCAACAAAGACCAGGCATGCCAGATGGCTAAGTTGCAAATGCCAGGTAACAGGTCAAAGAGGCTAGGCACAACTCCTAGACTCAGATTATAAGGCTGTTATGGATCCCTGTGATCATCTAGTCTGGCTTTCTGAGTGACAAGCCCTTAAGTCTTCCATAAGCCACAGCCAAGCAGTAAGAAGGATCACTTGCTTCAGTTCGCAACTGGAAGAGGGTGGAACATGTGGCCTGTGTTTTGATTTGTAAAACATCGGTCTGTAGCAGCAG